CAAGAGAGTAAAGGAAATTCATATGGCCAAAATGAGGGTACAAGATGGAAATAGAACAATATGGGGCAGGCCATATTCAAGAATTTAGATCAGCACTGTTAAGATATATAATGTGAGCCACATATGTAATTTTAAATCTTCTAATAGCCACATTTTAAAAAGTAAAAAAGAGATGAAGTTAAATTTAATAATATATTTTAGTTAACCCAATATATCTAAAATATTATTTCAATATGTAATCAATATAAAATTATTAATCTGATATTTTACATCCCTTTTTTCTACTAAATCTTTGAAATCTGATGTTTACATTTATAGTTCATCTCAATTCAGATTCATCACATCTCGACTGCTTAACAGGCACACGTGGCTAGTGGCTACTGCATGGATAGCACAGGTGTACTTTATCTTTATGCAAAGCCACCATAGGGCTATAATGAGGAATGGGATGTGAAGATCACCCAGCTGCTCCGTGGATAACAGATTTGATGGGAAAAAGTGGGAAGCAGGGAAACCAGAAAGGAGGATATCATAGAATCTAAAGGAGACATTAGGGTAATGTCAGGGAGAGTAAATAGATCTCGGTGGAGTCATTTAGGAGATAAAAGTAACCATTTTGACGTGCGCATCAGCCTATGGAGCACTCAGACCCAAGAGCTACTTCACAAGGCATCATGATGTATTCACTTTTTCCTCTCTGACCTCTTCAAGCTGGAAGCCCCAGACCAGTGTGAAAAGTCGCAAAAGCCAAATGGGTTTCCTAGGAGTCATGCAAGGAATGGTTTGGGTGAATGGTTTATATGCTGTTTTGACCCTTTCTTCTCTGTTCAGAGTGAGATAGAAGAATAGTCCAGAAAGTCTGAGAGTGTTGCTGCTTTTCTCCCCACTCTGTTGCTGACACACTGAATCTAGAGAGAGAGGAGGGGAGGAGGAGACAGATGGAGAAAACTGCTTCTTAGGGGTGATTACAGTCAGAGAGGGGCTTGAAGAGACATTCCTGGGCCCCATATTTCTTTCGCCACCAGTAACTTCCAAATCAAATGAGCTCAAGCTGCAGATCAAAATGAGATTTTTCTTATTGACTTCCCTGAAAGCTTAGCAGGCTCTCTGCAAATCGAGTCATGTGTATCCTGCATCATCATCAACCATTGCCGATTGCAGGGATACTGGGCTGATGTTGGCAAATATGTCACTGATGCATGAGGCCAGGGAAAATCCAGCTCTTATTGGCCTGGCAGTGCTGACCTGGTTTGTCCATAAATGAAGAGTAAATGCAATTTGCAAAACACATAGAACTGATAAGGGGTTACAACAAGGTGGGGCTGGAGTCACATTTTTAAGAGCAGGCATGCTTGAAGAGGAGACAAAGCATATTCCAAGCTCAAAATTGGACAGACAGTGTTTCTTAAAGTCTGCTCTGTATATCACCTTTCTCATAATCACCTGAGGAGTTTGTTAAAAATACACATATCTGGGTCTAACCCCAGGCCTGCTGAAAGGGAGTCTCTGGGAGCTGAGCCTGGGGCACTCCATGTTTAACAAGCTCCTGGATGATTCTTACATATATTAAAGTTTAATAATTCCTCGAGGAAAGAAAGTAGGACAAGAGTATTTCCACTTGTTTTTTGGAAAAAGCATTGAATTCGGAATCAGTCTACCTGGTCCTTTATCCAGACACTGCTGCCAGCTGGCTGGATGACATCATGGCAAGGAGAAAGAAAACAGGATGTGAAATCAGAAGGGGCACAAGTTCCTACCTCCTTTGCAAGAACTGTGTGATGATGGTTAATAGCTGAACTAACCCTCACCATCACCACTGAAAAATGTAGACATCGGCTCTGGTGACCTTGAAAAATCAAGCTCTGACGTGCTAGCTCTGATATTCTATTTCTTCAAATCACCTAACCTCAGTTCCTTCATTGGTAAAATGGGCAGGTTATCTTCTATTTGGGCTATGATATTTTGGGGATCCAGTGAAACACTGTTTATATATATTTCTCAAAAAATTTCAAAAGGTTGACACAAATATGAAGTGGTGGTATGAACCCATAATAGAATTATCTCCACTTAGGATATTATTTGTCTTTAGACTATTTCTATACTGATAAAATCCCCTTAAAAGCGTAGTATTTTGTTTTTTTAACAAAGCCCAATACAAAGTACAAAAGGATCATTTTGCCTGTTTACTATAAATTGCACTAATATGAAATGGGCCAAATTAAATTTTGCTGTCTCTTTAATACAACCACTAGCCTTGCAGAGACAAAGAGATTCACCCCAAGATAGTCAAGGTTTTCTGTCCATGTATGCAAAAAACACCCTCATTAATGACTGTGGCTTGACTTGGCATTCAAGTCCTCAATAATTTGGCCACTGTCTCCTTGCATGTAGCCAACACTAGCAAAATTTGATGATTTGATGACATGCTTTGTGCTTTGTGTTTATTTCATACCATATCCCTGGTTTAAAATGTCTCTCATCTCATCATCCTCCTATCAAACTCTTACCTATAAAAATATCATGGATGCATACAAATATTTAACTTTAGATGTTGAGTTTGAGGCTGCATATAAAAACAAAACAAACACACAAACAAAAACACAATTGATGACCAAATATCCAAGAGTGAGGGATTGATTAAATAATATAGTCATACAATAGAATACTATATACCAGTCATACGCTGTTGTAAAGAATATTTAATGGCATGGAAGAATGATCATGATATATGGTTAAGCGAAAGTACCATTTAAAAAATCAGGGCTGCCTGGGTGGCTCAGTCGGTTAAGCGTCTGCTTTCGGCTCAAGTCACGATCCCGGGGTCCTGGGATTGAGCCCCGCGTCGGGCTCTCTGCTCAGCGGGGAGTCTGCTTCTCCCTCTGACCCTCCCCCACCTCATGCTCTGTCTCTCTCTCTCTCTGTCTCTCACGCTCTCAAATAAATAAATAAATAAATTTTTTAAAATAATAAATTAAAAAAATAGAAAATCACCAGTAGATACAATATAGAACATAGGAGGAGGACACACACTGTGTTGGTCAGTCTCTAATTTTTTATCACATCATAGGAAATTTATTGTATAGCCACACAAAGAAGAACGGAGAAGGAGGAAAGGTCTCGGCACTGATCCAGCCAGACCTCACAGAGAACTGAACCCCCTGCTTACTGTTCAAAACTGTGATAATGCTCTGTAAGAGGTAGGCAGATACTCTGGAGATTGATATTATATCATGAATGCAGCTTCTCTCAGCCTCTGCTGGTCCCTCAGTGTCTTTCTACTGTCATCTGTGTGTCTCAAATTCAAAACATGAATGGGAGGGTCTGATTCAGTCCCTTAGGTATCACACAGTATGGAGCCCCTGCACTGGGAAGAACTCTCAGGCCAGGCCATTTTATGGCCAGTGGTCTGCTCAGCCTAAACTCTACCTGCAACCTTGATCCAGTTCCTTGTGGGCAGGACGGCAGGATCACATGACACAAACTGAGAATGTATGTGCCAGGCTCTGCTATGGCTGCTGCTCTCAGAAGCTTCTGAAAGCATGGCAAGCCCTCAAAGACTAATGACTCCTCTCCAGTACATTCATCAAATAATATTGGTTGTGTTGCCTTAATGGGGAGGAAGAAATGAATCTGTTAGGATTAGATTTGGCTCCCTGTGACAGAAAACCAAAAATCACAATAATTTAAACACATGAGGGTTTATTCTCTCAAGTGGAAGAAATCTGGCGATGGTCAGTCAGGGTTGGTATGACAATTCGCAAAGTCATTAGCATTCTAATTTTTCAGCTCCTTATCCTAGCACGTAATACAGAAGTCATTACTTCTACTCACTAATAGTTTTTCTTCTATTATTTCAAACACATGGTAGGATTGCCCTTCCCTCTTCCTTTGAATTTTACTGTGACATGTAACTTATTTTGACAAATAAACTGTGAGGAGAAGTGACATGTATCTCTTCCATGCAGAAGCTTTAAGAGCCAGTGCACCATTCTTTATATCTGTCCTTCCACTCCCTGTCGTGATTTTGAAAGCACAGATCAAGAAGAAGCCTCGATCAGCTGGTGACAGAATGCGTTCTTTGCTGAAGTCTATTAGACATTTAGGTGAGGAAGAAGTATAAAGCCACCGAGATTTGGGGATTGTTCTTATCGTAGCATAAACTAGTCTATCCTGACTAATATATATGGGCATCCTCAAAGTGATTTCCTGGTCTACCTCGCCTTCTGGAGATTTAACCATCACTTTTATATTCCAGGTGTCAAGAAAGAAAAATGGGAAGGGCAAGAGGGCCAAATCTCCCAGCGAATTCATCTCTCTTAAGGAGCCTACCTAGAAGTTCCACACATTTTCACTTCTATCTCATTGGCCAGAATTTAATTTCATGGGTAATGTGGCTGTCACAAAGTTTGTTGGCTATTGTAGTCTTTTGGGGAGGAAACATTGCTGCCTTGAATGTAATCAAGGCTATGTTATTAAAAAGGAGAGAAGGGATATCGGGTAATCGACCAATAGCATCTGACAGAAAACATGACTCAGTTTCTTATTTTTTTTCTTTTTCTTTTTTTTTTAAGATTTTATTTATTTTCAGAGAGAGAGCACAAGCAGGGGGGCAGCAGCAGACAGAGGGAGAAGCAGGCTTCCCACTCAGCAGGGAGCCTGATGCGGGGCTCGATCCCAGGACCCTGGGATCATGACCTGAGCTGAAGGCAGATGCTTAACTGACTGAGCCACCCAGGTGTCCCTCTTCTTTTTTTTTTTTTTTCCTGATTTTATTTATTTATTTGAGAGAGAGAGAGAGAGAGCAGGGGGAGGAGCAGAGGGGGAGGGACAAGGGAGGAGAAAGGGTCTCCAGCCGACTCTTAGCTGAGTGCAGAGTCCAACAAGGGACTCAATCTCACACCCCTGAGATCATGACCTGAGTCAAAACCAAGAGTCAGACGCTCAACCAAATGAGCCATACAGGCACCTTTCATTTTCTTCTTTTATTTACATTTCCCTATTTTTTTTCTGTAAGACCTGTAGTAATTCCATGCAAGAAAAAAAAAAAATATTGGCAACCTCCCATTTATCCATTAGGACAGCTCAAAAGCCACCTACTTCATGAAGGCTTCCTTTATCAACCCAGTAGAAGCCCAGTCTACCTCCTATGAGTTCTCCCTAAATCTTGCTTGTTCTACCCCTCTTTCTTCTTTTTTTTTTTTCCACATTTGCCTTTGTATCATAGCTACCTATGTAAGTGCATGTCAGGTTCCCTACCTTATCATAGTTTCGTTGAAGGCAGGGTCCAGCCTTTATTCTCCTCCATCTTTCAAGACACGTTTCATGAATGGTAGGTGTTCTATATTGGAAGAAGAGAAATAAAAAAGAAGGAAAGGCTTATCAAATACTATTTGTTTTCTTTTAAATCCCAAATTGAAACAGAAATGAGCTAATCCTTCCTCCAAAGGAAACACATTAAGGAAGTACCTAAGTGCAAATCACCAAGTTCAGGTCCTTGTTGAAAAGAAGGATTTAGACAGAAAGTGAACTCCACAGACATTCAAGAGGGAAAACGATGCAACACAAGTGGAAATGTATGAACTGGTTGAATTTAGGTATGATCAAACTTAGGAAGCAGATGGATAAGTTGTGCTGGCAGCTGAATGTGACAGAGGATAGTACCTATATCCTCTGGAGGATACCGGAGTTTCCCTCCCCACTGCCCATGCCTCCTGGTCACTTTGTATGTGAAACTTCTTTATAACTAAGTGCATGGTATTTGCCAGTAACTAAAGACCCTGAAATTTTATCTAAGTAAATGTTCATATCATACAGAATTCTAATATATAACAGAGTACTGTGGGAAGAAGCTGATGTACTGGAATTACCCTCTGGGCAAAAATGTTTTAAAGGATGCTCATGGATAGGAAGAACAAGTATTGTTAAAATGTCTATACTACCCAAAGCAATTTACACATTTAATGCAATCCCTATCAAAATACCACTAGCATTTTTCACAAAACCAGAACAAACAATCCTAAAATTTGTATGGAATCATAAAAGACCCCAAATAGCCAAAGCAATCTTGAAAAACAAAAGCAAAGTTGAAGGCATCACAATTCCAGACTTCAAGCTATATCACAAAGCTGTAGTTATCAAGACACAAAAACAGACACATAGATCAATGGAACAAAAACATACACATAGATTAATGGACCCACAACTATATGGTCAACTAATCTTCGACAAAGTAGGAAAGAATATCCAATGGAAAAAAGACAGTCTCTTCAACAACTGGTGTTCACAAAATTGAACAGCCATATGCAGAAGAATGAAACTGGACCATTTTCTTACACCATACACAAAAATAAATTCAAAATGGGCCAAAGGCCTAAATGTGAGACAGGAATCCATCAAAATCCTAGAGGTGAACACAGACAGCAACCTCTTTGGACCTCAGCTGTAGCAACTTCTTACTGGACACATCTCCAGAGGCAAGGGAAACAAAAGCAAATATGAACTATTGGGATTTCATCAAGATAAAAGCTTCTGCACAGTGAAGGAAACAATCAACAAAACTAAAAGGCAACCTTCAGAATTGGAGAAGGTATTTGAGAATGACATATCTGATAAAGAGTTAGCATTCAAAATCTATAAAGAATTTATCAAACTCAACACCCCACAAAAAAGTAAATGAACCAGTTAAGAAATGGGCAGAAACATGAACAGACATTTTTCTAAAGAAGACATACAGAAGGACAACAGACACATGAAAAGATGCTCAATATCACTCATCATTAGGGAAATACAAATCAAAACCATGATGAGATATCACCTCACACCTGTCAGAATGGCTAAAATTAACAACACAGGAAACAACACATGTTGGCAAGGATGCAGATAAAGGGGAACCCTCCTACACTGTTGCTGGGAATACAAGCTGGTGCAACCACTCTGGAAAACAGTATGGGGGTTCCTCAGAAAGTTAAAAATAGAACTACCCTACGACTCAGCAATTGCACTACTAGGTATTTACACAAAGGATACAAACATACTGATTTGAAAGGGCACATGCAACCTGATGTTTATAGCAGCATTATCAACAATACCCAAATTATGGAAAGACTCCAAATATCCATCAACTGATGAATGGATAAATAAGTTGTGATATATACACACACACACACACACAATGGAATGTTACTCAGCCATAACAAAGAATGAAATCATGCCATTTGCAAAGACATCGATGGAACTAGAAGGTATTATTTTAAGTGAAATCACTTGGTAAGTACTCCAAGTTCCTCAGGGTGTCCAGTGTCCAACTCTGGTTCTATGTTCAGTCCTGAGGTTTCAATTAACTAGTCCAGGCTTCTGGACTCTGGTTCCCTTATCTTTTTTTTTCTTCAAATTTTTATTTAAATTCCAGCTAGTTTGCATACAGTGTAATACTAGTTGGGAAATCAGAAACTGCTTTCTGGGGGGGAGGAGCAAGATGGCAGAGTAGTAGGAGACTGAAATTTCGTCTGGTCCCAGAAATTCAGCTAGATAGGGATCAAACCATTCTGAACACCTACAAACTCAACAGGAGACTGAAGGAAAGAATAGCAGCAACTCTCTGAACAGAAAAGCGGCCACTTTCTGGAAGGTAGGACATGCGGAGAAGTGAATGCGAGGTGAAATTCGGGAAGATAGACGGCGGGGGAGGGGGCCTCTGTCAGCCACTTCTGGCAAGTGATTGAGCAGCATAGCACAAAATCAGTACTTTTAGAAGTCGACTCTGCTGAGGGACGTCACTCCAGTGGCTAAGCGGAGAGTGGAAACCTCGCGGGACAGTGTGGTCTCAGGACCCTCGGGGTCACAGAAAGACCAGGGGTGCCTGAGTATGGCAGAGCTCCCAGGTATCAGAGCAGGGAAGCCAGCTGCAGAGATGGAGCTGAGGAGCGGGCTCTCGGCTCGGAGTTGTCATAAACCATGATCCGGGGCACAGTCGGGCCACTGCTCCTCCAGCAGGGACCCAACAAGTGGCAGATCTGGGGAGACTCACCTTCCTCCCCTGGGAGGAGTGGTGCGGGAGCACACTGCAGGGATCTGCTGGGTTTGGAGACTCTGCACAGGGTCGTGTGCCAGAGATAGGAACGCTCAGTCACAGGCCAAGTGAGCACGGAGTGCGGCCGGAGACAGGGGAGATGGGAGTGATTGACTGCTTTTCTCTGGGGGCGCACTGAGGAGTGGGGCCCTGAGTTCTTGGCTCCTCCGGGGCAGAGATTGGGAGGCCACCATTTTCACTCTTGTCCTCCAAAGCAGAATGGAAAGCTTGCAGGGAACAAAAGCTCCTGAGAGCAAACCCGAGCAGATTACTTAGCCCGGACCAGGCAAGGGCAGGGCAATTCTGCCTCTGGCAAAGACATTTGGGAACCACAGCAACAGGCCCCTCCCCCAGAAGATCAGCGAAAACAGCCAGCCAAGACCAAGTTTACCGATCAATGAGAACGGCAGAACTGCAGCGCTAGGGGAATACTGCACATAGAATCCATGGTTTTTTTCCCATGATTCTTTAGTCTTTCAAAGTTAATTTTTTTAATTTTCTTTTTTTCTTTTTCTTTTTTTTTTTTACTTTTTCTTTTTCCCTTTTTCAACCAACATCTTATCAATCCCTTTTTAAAAAAATCTTTTTTTATTTTTCATATTTAGAGTCATATTCTATCCCTTCATAGTAGTTACCCTTATTTTTGGTATATATATAAAGTTGTTCTCTCTTTAAAATTTTGGGATAGGTTTCCTCTAACAGACCAAAATTTACCCTAAATCTCTAGTGTATGGCTTTGTTCTAGTCTCCTACCTGATCACATTCTCTCCCTTTTTTAAAAAATTTCTCTTTCTTTTTTCAACCAACTTCTTATCAATTCCTTTTATAAAATCTTTTATAATTTTCATCTTTACAGTCATATTCCATCCCTTCATCATATTTACCCTTATTTTTGCACATATATAAGCTTTTCTTTCTTTAAAATGTTGGGAGGCAGTTTCTTCTAACAGACCAAAATATGCCCAAAATCTAGTGTGTGGTACTGATCTATTCACCAGCCTGATCATATTTGAGCATATTCTTTTTTTTTTTAATCTTTTTTTTCTTTCTTTCTTTCCCTTTCTTTTCCCCCAGTTTCAGGTCTCTTCGGATTTGTTTAGTGTATATTTTTCTGAGGTCGTTGTTACCCTCTTAGCATTTTGTTCTCTCATTCATCTATTTGTCTCTGGGCAAAATGACAAGATGGAAAAAATCGCCTCAAAAAAAAGAACAAGAGGCAGTACCGACTGCCAGGGACCTAATCAATACAGACATTACTAAGATGTTGGAACTAGAGTTCAGAATGACGATCATAAAGATACTAGCTGGGCTTGAAAAAAGCATGGAAGATATTAGAGAAACCCTTTCTGAAGAAAAAAAAGAAGTAAAATCTAACCAAGTCGAAATCAAAAAGGCTATTAATGAGGTGCAATCAAAAATGGAGGCTCTAACTGCTAGGATAAATGAGGCAGAAGAGAGAATCAGTGATATAGAAGACCAATATAGAGAATAAAGAAGCTGAGAAAAAGAGAAATAAACAACTACTGGATCACGAGGGCAGAATTCGAGAGATAAGTGATACCATAAGATAAAACAATATTAGAATAATTGGGATCCCAGAAGAAGAAGAAAGAGAGAGGGGGGCAGAAGGTATAATGGAGCAAATTATAGCAGAGAACTTCCCTAATTTGGGGAAGGAAACAGGCATCAAAATCCAGGAGGCACAGAGAACCCCTCTCAAAATCAATAAAAATAGGTCAACACCCCGACACCTAATAGTAAAACTTATGAGTCTCAGAGACAAAGAGAAAATCCTGAAAGCAGCTCAGGACAAGAGATCTGTAACCTACAATGGTAGAAACATTAGATTGGCAACAGACCTATCCACAGAGACCTGGCAGGCCAGAAAGGACTGGCAGGATATATTCAGAGCACAAAATGAGAAAAATATGCAGCCAAGGATACTATAGCCAGCCAGGCTGTCATTGAAAATAGAAGGAGAGATAAAAAGCTTCCAGGACAAACAAAAACTAAAGGAATTTGCAAACACAAAACCAGCCCTACAAGAAATCTTGAAAGGGGTCCTCTAAGCAAAGAGAGAGCCTAAAAGGAACATAGACCAGAAAGGAACACAGACAATATACAGTAACAGTCACCTTACAGGCAATACAATGGCACTAAATTCCTATCTTTCAATAGTTACCCTGAATGTAAGTGGGCTAAATGCCCCCAATCAAAAGACACAGGGTATCAGATTGGATTAAAAAACAAGACCCATTGATATGCTGTCT